TCTCGGTGTCAAACCAGCGCAGCTTTCCAGAGGATGGGAACCGCGACTGGAAGGACAGAGGGGGCGGAGGGGGCAAAGGCGCCGTGAACGGGCGAGCAGGGGGGCCTGCGGGGGCCCGGGCGCTCCGCGGGCTGCGGACACGGCTGCTGGGGCTCCTGGAGCCAGCGGGTGTTCGGACAAAATCCTCCTGCTGACTGCAGCTCTCTGCCCATCTTCACCCTGCATGTGCCACGGAGCTGGAGGAGCGTAGGCCGTGTTGTAATCCGCGGTAAAAATTCAGAGGTTAGCAGAGCTGCTCCGACTGCTTCATCTTCGCTAGCGAGGAAGCTGCAGGGGACAGGACGGTTCGTCTGCTGGTTTGCATCTCTCCTCCGCTAACTGCGGATCAGTGTCATGGTACCGCTCCGAGACAGCTTTCTTCTTAATTCTGTGTCAAAAGCACAGCCAGAAAGAGCCTGCCAGCTTCTCTGACCAAAAGCTGACAGCTTTACCCCATGGGCAGCCAGCCACGGGCTGGCTACAGAGGAGGACTTTCCAGAGCTACAGAGTGGGTGTACATTGGGCTAGTAGTTGGCAGAAAAAAAAAACCCCAACCTTAATTCCCACAAACACCACCCTGCTCCCTTGTCTTCCCAGCTGCACACACAGAGCCCACAGTAAGTCATCTGTAGTGTAGCGCTGAAAACTTTCCATCACGATTTTTGCTTTAAAGCAGTGCTATTTCCTCGAGCAAATCCTGCACCCAAGTTACCTGCAGCTATTTATTTTGCTTGGTAGGAAGCTGGAATACCTTTGCTTTCAAAGCCCTCAGAAATCCACCACTGCCTACTCTACAATATGCTAAAGGCCAGTCCCAGAGAAAGAGCGTCACATCTCACTGCAGAAGCAGCAGATGGAGAAAAGAAAATGGCAAATGTATTTCTTTAAAAAAAAAAAAAAAAAGCCCTAAGCATTTTTCATTTCTCCAGGGTGACACAGAGCCCCCGAACAATATTGCAGCTCTTCAGTCCACATTTACAAACTCAAACAATCAAGCTGATGCTGAGGAAACTGGACCCAAGACATCCCTCAGGTCTTATTAAAAACAGCCTTGTATAAAAAAAAAAAAAAAGAAAAAGTCAGTGGGAACAACAGTGACGTACATGGGATTGCTTAAACCTGAAGGACACAGCACACAGGGGCATGGCACTGTGAGGTTGCTCATCTCCCAAACTTCACTGGCCCCCTTTATGCCACTACGTTCTGCTGCTCCCCCTTTCTCTGCCCATTTCATCACCTCATTTTTGCAATAGCACTGCTGGGGCAAAAACAGAAAACCTAGAGGATTATCACAGTAGCAGTAGATGGAAAATGACAAAATTCTCGTGTCATGGCAACAGAAGAGCAGGAGTGAGGATGTTCTGCCCTATCTGGCCGGGGTTCGCTGAGACATTTCCTGATCATTAGCAAATCTTTAATCACGCCCCTAACTCAGTTTTTCCGTTGGTCCAACCCTTTCTCATGGGCTAGACAGCACAAAACAACTGCTTCCGTCTGCTGAATTGGTAAGCTAGAAGATCAGCGGGAAAAGAAAAAAATCCATAGGGCATCAGCAATTCCGGGCTGTATGTGCTCGTGCAGGTCCCTCATCAATCAGAGAGACATAATGAGAGCAGACTCCGACCGCGCTGCATCTGCTCTGCAAACACGGAGCAGGAGCACAGACTGCAAGTCACCAGAGGAGCAGAATCTCTGCAGTTTGCCCAAGAAGGAGGCAGGTCAGGACTCCCGTCCGCCAGGGATAATCCTACTTTCAGTCATGCTTAGCACCTGCAGCACCAACCAGTGCTGATGAGGGTAACGGGTGCACTCTGAGGAAAAACAGAGGGTGCGCACAGAAGGAGAAGAATCCCTTTCTCTGTACCAAGCACAAGCTGCAGGGCAACGTTCTCTTTTACTGATGGACTCCCAGACACCGCTCTGCCCGTGATTCATCAGGTAGGGCTGAGCTGCAGTTTTCTTATGGCTTTAGGCCCCAGACCTTGCAATGACCACACACAGTGGTAGATTCACGTCAGCAGCACAAAAGGCCTTTTCCAGTCTGCTCTTAATGTGTAACCTCCGCTGCACAAGGTTTAGGATAGGGGCAGCTAGAATTAGCAGTTTCTAACCTGTAAGGCCTCTCTGGCTGCCCGGGATGATTTGCTGGTCATCCCACGAGCTCCGAGAGCACCATCAGAGCCCTTCGGCTCCAGCTGTTGGGAGCTGCCCTGCCCGCTCCTCTGGGGGGATGGACACGGGCTGGCTCCGGCCAAACCCGAGTGAAAGGCAAGCTACTGCCGCTTTAAAGCATCTTCCACAGCACCTGCTCTGAACTCTTCAGTTAAAATGCAACAGGTCACAGGACAGTTCAGGTTAGAAGGGCCCTCGGGAGGGCCCTGAGTCCGACCTCAAGCTCACGGCAGGCTCGGCTCCGAGGCAGCTGCGTCACGAGGACCCTTCGCGCCTCTGAAGCACGAGGCCCTCACGCAGAGGAAAGAGCTGCTGAAGGGATGTCATGAACCCAGTCTTGGCTTGACAAGCGGCTTACTGGTGTAAGAATAAGTCATTTCGGGAAGGGTCACTGATGTCCATGAATGATTTGTGCTCATTTACTGGGGCTCTAAACCAAACAGCCTCCCTGCAACACATCAGAGACCTTTACATCATCATCCACACCCACTGATTTAACAAGGGCTGGGTTTCAGCCTTCACTAGTGAGCCCAGAGCGAGTAAGAAATGGATTAGATCACATTTTCAAAGGCTCGCAAGCACTCCTGCAAAACCTGTCAAATCACCTGTCAAATACGAAAAAAAAAACAAAAAAAACCCGACGCTTGGGGAAAGTTTCTCGAGTGCCTTGACAAGAGAAGAACAGTGTGATGGCAGCAAGCTGGCCAGGATTAGAGCTGGATGTTGTGTTTGCTGTGACACAACCGCTACCTCTGCCCCAACAACTAGCGACTAGCTGAAGGGAAAACACAATTCAGAGCAAAGGGAAGACGACGGGGAAACAAGAAGAGGCTTTCTTTGGAACAGAACCCAGGTAAAGCCTCCTCGGCTCCCGAGAGAGCAGATGATGTGGCACTAGTCAGAACAATACAGTCTACTCTGCAAGGGGAGGAAAAAAAAAAAAAGTTTAAAGACATTGATTTGGTTTATTTCTCTGTAAACCCTTTGTGATCTCAGAGGTACAACTCTATGAGCATCACCAGTTTGTGGTCATACAGAACAAGGCACTCAGGCATGGAATTTTCTTAGACCCAGGTCAGTGCCACACTCCAGTCATACCCGAGCGATGCTTTTCTTGGGAGGACTCCCTCTCCAGCAGAGATTTCATGCCCTCTCCCCTAAGAATTATGTCAACAAAACCACACGGTAAAGCACCCTTCCCCCTCTATCCTGGGTCATTTATTAACACAGTTCAAGACCAGCCAGTATTTTCAGCCCACAGCAGCACGAAAAGTTATGTCAGCTTCCACCTGGCAAACACACGTGCTTTCATCAGAGGAGGGAGAGGGCTCAAGAGAAGAGGCCCCGCAGCAGCTGATCAGCTTCACAGGTCAAGAACCCTCAGCGCCGTGCGTTGTGAAACGCCTGGCACCATCCTGCTGTGATGCAAGCAGGTGTGCTGGCCCCGGGGCGAGCGCCTCACTGCCCCGGCTCGGAGGAGCCTCCCTGCAGAGCCGGGGGGGCAGCACACCCCCAGCCAAGCGGAGCCTCGCTCCCGGAGAGCACAGACGGGCTCCAAACACCCTGGCAAGTGCCTGCTGCCAGAACCGGGGTACCTGGAGTCCTGTCCTGAAAGGACACCTTCCTCTGCAGCCCTGGGGAAGGTCCTTAACCGGTCTATTCCTTAAGTCCTTCCCCACATCACTTGTGAAGCGGAGAGCAGCGCCTGGGAGGGCTCCCAGCTGTGGGTGCCCTTCCCGTCGCGTCCCACCTCGGCGTGGGGAGCGGCTGGCTGCACGCACCTGCGGGGGTCTCCTACGCCGAAAGCTGCACAGGTCTGAGTAACAGCGTTATTGGAGTTGAAAATCTGAGCTCCGAACCCAACCCAGACACCTACAAACAGTATGCTCAGGAGGCACGTTAAGTTTTCAGTTTTTAGACTCTATGGCAGACAACGAACGAGAGAAAAAAAGTCCACACAGAAGGGAGAGCCTTTCCAAAGCAGTAAGGTAAACAGCAGGTGTTTGCAGGTAGCAAACAAGAGCTGGAAAACAGCCATTTCGCAGCTCCTGGAGCTGCCGGATCCATTCACGGGAGACAAGAGAGACAGAGGCTGCTCCCCCCCCTGCGGGTGCAAGAGCAGGGATGGAGCGAGACCCCGGCGCGGGGGCTGCTGCCTCCCCAGCGCCCACCAAGGGGGTTTCATTCTGGAAAAGGGCCCACCCAGCGCTGCTGGCAAAGGGCCTCCTGGCTGCGGGGTGACGGGAAGGAACAAGCCGGCGCCCGGAGCTGCTGCTGGCACGGACGAGCCCTTTCTCCCGGCCCCTCGCTAAGCGGTCTGTGCCCATCGCAAACAGACGCGGCCCCAGCACCGTCCCGGGCAGCCGGGGCCTCGCCCAACACGGACACAACCGCCTCTGTCTCTTATAC